CAGTTTGTCTCCAGTCTGTCTCCAGTCTGTCTCCAGTCTGACTCCAGTCTGATTCCAGTCTGACTCCAGTTTGTCTCCAGTCTGTCTCCAGTCTGTCTCCAGTCTGACTCCAGTCTGACTCCAGTCTAGGTTCACATCCGCTGGTCAGAGATGCACAGTGAAAAGATCTGATCAGGTTCCAGTTCAAACCACGGTACTGATGCCGCTGTGCTTGGGCTTTGTGCTCCCAGACACCTGGGACAGTGGTGGCGAGGGGCCATGGAGGTGGGGGCCCTGGGCAGGGGACCCCCCCAGGTTGTGCTGTGGCTGGTAGGGTGGCTGCTGGCTGTGAGCTGGAGCTGGGTGGAACTGGTTGGGCGCGTGCTGCAGGTGGGGTGGTGGGTGGTAGTGATGGTGGTGGTGGTAAGGCGGGGGGTTCTGGCTCATGTGGCAGAACTGGGCATGGGATGAATGCAAGGGGACCGGTGTGTCTGTCTCCTCCCGGGATGTTTGGTGCAGGTTGGGGGGATGAGGGTTGTGGGCGATGAGGGTGGGATGAGCAACCTGGGGAGTGGGGCTTGGAGACTTGAGTCTTCTGGTGCCAAACAGAGAGCCCATCAGTGAGGAGGAGCTGGGCAGGGAATATCCACTGTGGCGTGATGGGCAGTCCCTCCCAGAGGGGGTCCTCCTGTGAGGACTGCTAATGATGGAGCCCTGTGAAGGAGAACACAGAACGTCTTCAGAACCAGCCTAAGACCCCCCCCCACACAGACACAAACACAAACACATGCAGCAAGAGTGAGAATCGTAAACAAAAATCATTTCTGATTTAAATATTCATTTGGAGGTCAGAGATTTTATCTTTTTTTCCTGTAACTTATCTATAAATCTGGAAACACTCCCTGCAGATGAAGAAATGTTGACCTGAAGGTTTGACCCAGCCTGTGGGGCAGGTTTGGAGTCATTCTCGTCTTACAGTAAACCAGCTGAGGTCATCTTTAGAGATGAGGAGATTTCAGACTAACTGTATGGAGCTGTAACCTACAGGATCCATCCTGGCCCCCGGTTTGGTCCTGGATGGCAAACCTGGGGAGGGTGGCAGTGTCCCAGCAGAGATGCTAACACATAGTTTTTCTGCAACAGTTAATAAAGGTTTGTTTGTCCAGGAAGCTTTCTCAATTCAAATGTGAGAGTTAGTTAGAGTGGCTCACATTTGAATTGAGAAAGCTTCCTGGAGAGGTGGAGAAACGTCTTCAAATCTTGAAAACCAAGTCCAGTGGATATTTTTTGAATTTTTACGGGAGAACACCTAGGCCACATTCACACTGCAGGCCTTGATGCTCAATTACGGTCTTTTTTGCGTTGCTGATCACATTTCAAAATATGTGCGACTTTTCTGTCATCTCCTGTGTAAATGCAGTCATACAACGCAAGTGCAAGTGCTAGCGCAGTAGAGGACGCAATGACATCCCAAGCCAGCCTGCTCTGTGTTTACGGAAGTAAACATGGATGGTAGCACTGGAGCACATTAGCGGTCTTTTCCAACCATAAAACCTCAAACTTTTCAAGATGGTTAAACATAAATGCTGCTCTCCGCATCATCATCATCCGCCATGGTTGTTGTTTTTCTTCCTGCTTCTCAGTAACAAGACCCAGAATAGTGACCTTTGATTTGTGTATCAACGGGTCCTTAATCTGGTCGCATCAATCTGACCTGGCCGTTCAGACACAGGTCGCATTTTAAAAGATCAGATTCGTATCGGATTCAGGACCACATAGCCATGCTAATCTGCATCTATAGCAGAATCTAAGAATAGCTGTACAACTAGGAAGGAGGAGGTGATAGGAAGAGGGACCAGGGTCAGCACCCCCCCTCCTTGGACATCTGATGCTAAACATGACCTATTGTCACTCATATGCAATATTCTTCTCTCTCACTGTGCATTAACAAATGACATCTACTGTGTAGCCTGAGTAATTCTTTACTTATTTATAGAGTCAGTCCATCTCTGTAATACAAGATCAATAATATAAGGCAACTACTGTGTAGTCTTCCCTTAGCTCTCTACTGGGCAGATATCTTTATATCTAAGGGAAACATATTCCAGGACATCACAACTCTTTTCTTTCTTTTAAGCTTTTTTGTACTATATACACTCTTTTTGTATTGACTGTATTTTTTTATATTTAATGGCATCTTGCTTTAACTCTATAAAAGCTACTAGAACAAGAATTTCCCTTAAGGGGTAATCCCAAGGGATAATTAAAGCTAAGTCTGAGTCTTTTTTTTTGGAGCAAATTGGACTATTAGTGAATGAAGATACATATCTCATGTTCAACTTGTAAGTACCAATGTTAGACATGGGGAGTGGCTCAGGTTATCCTGATCTATCTCTATAGTTCTGCTGCTATAGGCTTAGACTGCTGGA